GTGTGTGTGTGTGTGTGTGTGTGTGTGTGTGTGTGTGTGTGTGTGTGTGAAAACACAGGTGAGCTTCTTCTGCCCTAGCTTCCCACTGTAGACGTTACAGCATAGAGCCAGTTCTTTGCTTAGGATTAGCCTCATTATAGTTGAGTCATGGATGTTTTCAAAGCGAATATCAGAGAGACTATGTGAACATCTTTAAAAATATCTTATGTAACTTTTAATGCTGGATGAATATTAGTCCTGACAGCTTCTGTGGTTTTTGATACCTTATATTCTGCTTTAAAAACAGAAAATGCATGAAACTGTTTAATCAGAGGGTTGGGACAAATATCAGAGAATATCAGAATAGAAATACATGTACCAGGACTTCTTTCATGGTTGATTATTCTGATATTGTCCTTGTGTGATATTGTGTTACTATTAAATAGTATGGCATTATACTGAGAGGTGTTTTTAATAATTTGTCCCTCCGATATAGACTAAGAAGCCTTTTCTTTTCTTTATGACCTGTTTTTTACGAGAGTCAGGCAGAACTGGAGCTTCGCTATCATATGAAGTTCAACTGTACAATAATGCTGTTTCCACACATGACACGATACAAATTTTGACCGCAGGATAAATTGTGTTTATTCGCGTCAGTCAGGCGAGGCGCTCTGGAGAGGAGGGTGATCAACCCTGACGGAAACATCCACAATTGCTGCTTCGTACGTGTTGTGGAAGTCCTAAACGCCGTCCTGTCCTGTCTCATAACGTCGTCATATTCACTGTATCTAGCAAGCCACACGACACGACACGACGGCTGCTTCACTTCAGCGGTATGAACCCAAAATATACAGATTTAGCTGTGATTTAATTGCAATAAGCAAACAGAAAGGATGCCGAAATACTTACATATTGATGCAGCGCCAACTTCCCAGCTCGGCTGTTCCTGTTAGGGGTCGCCACAGGTGATCATTTATATCCATGTAGTTGGTAAGGGAAAGGGCCTTCCATGACCCATGAGCCCTGTTTGTGTGAGGCTAACCACTGCACCACCATGTCCCCTCGTTCTGCCCAATCTAGCACTGGTACCAATTTAAAACGTGCACCTCCAGGACCCATTTCTACATTTGAGAGCGAAGGAAGTGCACCCTGTTTTTTAACTGCCTTTTAGTTGCCTTTGGTATTTCCTGTGTGCGGTGAAGCTACACTCGCTGTGTGAGTTGTGTAATGTGCAGTAAAGGGTCCGGACTCCTCCGTTGGGCACCAGCTGCTCTCGGATGGTGTTGTATTGAAGTCACGGTCATGTGATCGGAGGGGCTATGTGACACTTCATTTCATAGCAGCCGGCCTCTCAGGTGTGTGTGTGTGTGTGTGTGTGTGTGTGTGTGTGTGTGTGTGTGTG